AAACATCATTAAAACCCATATCTCGCAATCTACTACGCTTAAAAAGTACAAACAATTGGGCATAGGTCATATCTGGAGGTTAGAAGTGCGAACAAGTAATTAGAGGAGCGAGGAAGTCTAAAGCTCCTCAGGTACTTCCACAAGCAGAAGCGGCAAGCCTTTGCTGAAATTAGATGCAATATTTCCGCATCGATCCAGAAAATACTCCAAAAAGATCTTCGTTTGATTCTCTTGCTTCGAAAGTGATTCAAGGTGCGAAGAGTGATTAGGGGCGCGAGAAAGTCTGGAGTACCTGAGGCGCTTCCAGAAGCATCCTCCTGTCTGACGTCTATACTCATTGCCTTGCCCAAATGTTTTGTTCTCGCCTATAAATCTTCGGTCCCTATTTCAATGGACATTCTTTGTGTGGGGAAGGGGAAGAATTCTCATTGAGTGCAAATTCATAATTTCAAAGAGCTACTTAAAGGTCTGCTTGAGGAGACTATTGCTCAACTGCCCGCTAACCTTTCCAGTTTCAAGTAGAATCAATCTTTTGCCAGCCATTTTTTGGGGGTCATCGGTCTGAGGAGGATGAGATGATGTAAATTAGCTTCGGAGTAGATGTCAAAGAAAAGAGAAAGGCTTTTTATCTAAAAAATGTGATATTATACATCATTTCCATGTCACCTTCCATACCTTCGTCATCTCACTTCTCCAAGTCTTAGTCATTCTGCCCAGAAGCGTTATGGTCTTAGAAGTCTGTAAAGTCTCAATTTTTCGCTCTTCGAACCCACTTAGCTTTGATTCCATCATTTTTTTGCCGAACAGTCATCATTTTATCCATGTGATTTTTGTAAAGTGTATCAGGTCACCACGATCTAATGAATCTATATGTATTTGCAACTGTTCAATTTCCTTGTGAAAAGTTTTGTCGCTTTGAATCTTCCAGATAGCAAAAGATAGTAATGCCTGCGTTCTCTTATCTTCTTCTCGACATCGAAGGTACCATAACAAGTATTTCGTTTGTAAAGGTCAGTCAATCAGCACTCAATCATATCTATAGTGCCCTCCAATAACAACAGATTTTTGGTTTTTATAGGACGTACTATTCCCATGCGCTCATAAAGGAGTAGAACAATTTCTGCGAGAGCATTTTGATGATGATAATTTGACAAAAATAATAGATGATATCCGAGAAATTTCCCAGCAAGAATCAAGATTGGATACTGGTATAAGGTAAAAATTTAGTTTCTCAAGTACAAGAAGGGAGAGTCATTTGAGGCGGTTTTTAGAACGGTGAGAACTAACAAAGAGGAGTGCATTGAAGACGTTACCCGTAATGTGAGACACTGGATTGATATCGATAAAAAGGTGCGTTCAGCGAAATGTTTTTAGGTGAGGAAATTAATAACTCATTTGGAACTTAAACTCAAGAATTACTCAAAATTGATACTACACGATTGTCTAGCCTTTATAGCACGATCTTCCGCATGTCCAGATCTTCGCTTATAGATGAATTTTAGGTTACGCCCATGAAAGCCTTGCAAGGTTTGATTTGGGAGGAAGCCTACATAAGAGGAGACGTCAAAGGACAGTGAGTATACGAAAGTTCTTTTCTAATAAGATATATTTGATCTATAACCCACTCATGTTCCAGTGTCTACCCGGATGTGCTACCTTCGCTGAAGGCAGTGTCTGTACCCGTTTATATCTACTCCTCTGGGTCTGTGCTAGCTCAGAAGTTGCTGTTCAAACATTCTGTGGTCGGAGATATGACTAAGGTTTGCCATATGGATGA